TTCTTTGTGAAGTGACCAGTATGTTTCCTCCTGACAACAACTTCCTTGAAAGACTATCAATAAAACATTTTAAGATTTTCCTGAAGACTTACCCGCCCTCCTTCAATGCAGTTTGTTACCATAACGATCCTCTTAACTCTTTGTTCCCAAATCATTCTCCAGAAATCATTAACAGTAGAGGGCAGAGGGCCCTGAGTGGCAATGTACTCTCTGTTACTGCTGTAGCCCTGAAAAGCAGTGGACAAAGTTAATATGTAGACTAATTTAGCTTGTATATCTTCTGCTCGTTATAGAAATGAAAAAAGAAAGCTCATGAAATCGCACAAAGGTGCTTGTTTATATGCTTTCTGTATGGTGTAGTTATAAAGAGCTCTTCACTGAACTTTATCTTAATGTAACACTTACCGGCATGTAATTGGCATTGATATAGTCTGAAATTCCATCAGGATCTGATGTAGTGAGCTTCACACGACACCAGTCATCTAATATGAGAAAACAGGTGATTTAACTCCAGTGCACCTCCAGTAGTCCTGACATAGACTGCTAGACTGAGCTCACAACAGCACGGTTCAACAGTCAGAGGAGAGACTCACATGGCAAGACGTTATTGAAACGATTCTTCGCTTTGTTTTCAGGTAGAATAGCAGTCTTTCGTGTCTGGTCTGTTCCAACAGGAGCGAGGCACTGCATGAACGTAGCAGATAACAAAGCATGAAACTGAGATACTGGCCATCGTAAAACGAATAAAATGGTAAGAAATAAAACAGTAAAGACACAAAAACAGGAACACACAGAAGCAGAAGAGGAAAAAAAATCTTGATCTTTTTATGCACCTCATATTCCTCGCTGAAGCCTCTGTTCTCATCCAAACTCAGCTGATGGAAGTGGTCCGGAAACTTTGCAGCAGGAATAGATCTAAAAATAAATAAATAAATAAAACATAACTCTCTCAATTTTATTAATTAATTTTGCCATAATTAATGTTTTTCTTCATTGTGGGTAATTGTCATTGTAAAAAAACACTTACTTGCTCTGTGTGTTAGATACTTTGGATCCACCAATGAATGAAGACTTCTTTCTGCTGCAGGATCAAAATTAAGACATTAAATTTGATAAATGTATTAATTTAATTTACTTTATTCTTGTCGGTGAAGTGAGACCCACCTAATAATATCTGGTCTTTTGAGGAAAATTAAGACAACCAGAGCGACCAGGAGACCAAAAAGAAGCACACCAAATACGGACCCTGCAATAACTCCTAAAGGGAGCAAAAGCATAATTAGCAATGAAGTTGAAAAGTTTAGAGGTTTATTTTTTACTTGCGTGAAATGAAACAATCAAGTCAAAGTTGAAAATACTGTATACTGTTATGATTACAAGCAGCAACATGGTAATATAGTTACTTTTACTCACCCCTTGGATCAGTTTGGCAGTAAAACACATGCGGTTCAGAACTCCTCACCCCAGACTGTGAAGTTACAGACACCTTATATTCTTTGGCAGGTTGGAATCCACTGATTGTGATCTCAGTTTCAGGACTAGCTACTGTGTGAGTCTTTCCAGTCACATTCACCTCCGCATTGGTCCACTCGCCCTCTGGGTCTGTCCATTTAATAAGAACAGAGTATCCAGCTGCCCAGTACTCACAGTGAGCATTTAGATTAGGAGGAACTGAGTAAAACAAGAAAAAGGTTTTACAGTCATAACTAAAGCAGAAAATATATGACTTATAGTAAATATAATGAAACTTTTTATACTACAAAACTTTGTTCTAAAGTAGAAAAAGTAGAAATTTGTTCTAAAGTAGAAAGATTATTTGTCTTACTTTTAGGTCAAAGCAGTGCTCTTATTCTTTAAAAAGTTAATAATAAATTTTTGGATTTTCATATAAAAACAAAGAATGAAGACCTCAAACTTAGACATTGAAAGAATTACTCAGTCTGTATATAATTATAATTAAAAAACAATCTGTAGCAATGATTGATTAACAGCTCAAGTCACAAAAATAATTCCTGCCTTACAGAAGTTAGAATTTTCTGTTTTAGCCTTTTTAATTTGTTGAGATTATTTATCAAAACTAATAAGTTAGTTAATAATAAAATGATACTTGGTTGAAACTCATGTATTCATACTGAATCATATTAAATATGTGTGTTAACCTGTGGTATATAAATCGTACATAAAATTATTTTTCTGCAATAAACTTTTTCAAGATTAAAATTTGAATGCAAGAGTAAAAATTAAAAACTAAATCACAAGAATTCACACTTCATCTTTCAGGAAAGTTAAAGTTATTACTTTATGATCTTAAAAACTAATTTACAGATTAAAAATATGCTAGTCCTTCAAATGGTTTCTGTTGTACTCACGAATTGTTAATTTGTGTTCACACTGCAGGAAAACTCTGGAAGACTTTTCATAGACAAGAGAGATGTTATAGGTGGCACCAGGGTAAAGTCCAGTAAATGACACATTTTCATGTCCATTACTGACATGAACGTTAGATCCATTATAGGCGCTTGCGGTCGAAAACAAGCCTTCAATCTTTGCTTTGATTGATGAGTTGGTAACTTTCCAGTCTGCACTGGCACAGTCTATGGCTGAAATGGGTGAGAAAATAGTTATACGCAAGAACCTGATTCTTTTTTTATACAACTCATTGAATAGAGACAAGAAAAAGTTATAAAAGTCTAACACAGAGATGTTTTGGGGGTTTGTTTACCTGTTACTGTGAAATTCGTATAAGGAGTGCTCCTGAGTCCAGCAAACACTGTGGTTAAGCTGAAATCATACTGTGATCCAGGCTGAAGAGATGTCACTACTTTTCTGATTGTATCTGAGGAGACGTCTGACACACTATCTGACACACCACCATTGATTTGAAGCTCGTATTGCCAGGCTTTATTCATGTTCTCCCACTCTAGAGTTATGCTGTTAGTAAATCGTTCAGTCACACCGATCCAAGGCACCACTGGTGGAACTGAAAAAACAAAAACAAAACTCAGAAGTGGAATTTGTTCATCTTTTTCTTTTAAAATGAAATACAGGAGTATAGAGCTAGTTCAGTTATCACAAGCTTTTACATACTTAAGCCTGAATAGGTGTGTGAGCTGGCACTCAGCATTAAAATTAATTGAATAAATAATAACTATATATACAAATAATAAAATAATTACATATAAAATATTATGATTAAGCATGCTGCTTGCTAAGAGCACATCATTTATATTTGCTGCTCTATTACAAGCACAAGCCTATCATCAGGGTTAGATGCACACTTCCTTCTTCTCAGAGATATGGTTGGTGGGTGGAGCCTTGATGGATAAGTGGCACTGCAGGCCAGAAGGAAAACATGGACATTTCACTTGGACTTATATTGCCCTTTTAAATATATTGTATCAGGAGCTAAAGATGAAATAAAGACAATTTTACAAAGGAAAACAAACAGTTTAAAAAACCCCACTTGATTACATACCTGTCGGTGCACTAAAGTTGTATCCAGAGCTGCTGACGTTCTCAAACACAGTAAAGAGGGTAAAATTGTAGTTTGTCCCAGCAGTCAGAGAAGAGACCACACATGTAACTGATGCACCTGATGTCGTGCATCCGTCCATGTCATTCTTGCCAATAACAATATTATCGCTGTCATATTTTAGGATGTATGTTAGTATGTCGTTAACCTTCTTCCACATCAGAGTTATACTGTTCTCATTTTGTGTCACAGTCATATTGTGGACATTTTCTGGAGCTGAAAGAGGACAAAGAATGATTTCAGAAGAATACAAAATCTGAGACATATTTTTAAAAAATACTGTGGGTCAGAAGCATAAATAGATGTTACTTTTTCCTTTTAAGGCACTCATAGTGACAAGCAACACACATATGTTAATAAATAAATGAAGCTCTGGTCTCATTTAGTCAGATTCAAATGCAGTTGCTGTGAATTATAAGGAGCTAAAGATGAAATAAAGACAATTTTAAAAAGTCTGATTCACAAATGACCTCCCTAAGTAACCATTTTGGTTTCCTAAGCTTTTAGTAAGTATAAAAATCTGATTTCAAGTTTCTCCTGTCTAATGTTGTAAATGTACATCAGACAAAAAAGCACCTCACCAAGTCCCTCTCAAGGCTTATGACTGTTTTAGATGTTTTTAATTTGTTAACCTCCTAAACCAGTCTAGGATTAAAGGTGGGGGTAGTATTTGACATGTTCAGTGTTACAATATTTATGTTATGAGGAGCTATTATATAAGCATGGTCCAAAAAAACTGTAACTGTAAAAACCATTGCAAACGTTTATTTACAAATCACATTACATCCCCAACATTACCCATCTGTTGTAAAGAAACCTAAATACAGGAGTTTGTGAGAGGATTTTCCATAAGTAAAACATCCAGTAACACACAAGTCTTCATGATCACCCACCTGTCACAGCAGTAAAAGAGTATCCAGTGCTGCTGACTCCCTCAAACACAGTGATGAGAGTGAAGTTGTACTTTGTCATAGCAGTCAGAGGAGACACCTCATATATAATGGGTCCCTCTTCAGAAACACTGATATTCTTCTCCATGTCAGTGCTGTTATTATACTGTAGGATGTATTCTGGGATGTTTTTAACCTTTTCCCATTGCAGTGTTATGCTGGTCTCATTTTGTTGCACCACAGTCACATTATTAACACGTTGTGGAGCTAAAGATAACAGAGGAAAGTGTCTTTGACAATAAAACTCTCCATCAGCTAAAGTTTCAATTACTAATTAGCTGGTCCATTCTGGCATATTTATCTATATTAGAGAAAATCTTACCAGTGACTGCGGTGCAGTTTACTCCACTGCTACTGA